CTCCCTGCCAGCGTGCTCACCTCCCCCCAGATTTTGGTGTCATCAGCGAATTCAAACAGGTTACTTTCCACCCCATCATCCAGATCGCTGACGAAGAAATTGAACAGTGCAGGCCCCAGGACCGATGCTTAATGCGCAGTAGACTATTTTACTCCACATTAGTGTAATTGCACATTTTTTACATGACCTATTTTACCTAAGTAAAATAGGTTACCATACATTAAAGCACACATATAGACACACCCACAGAATTTCCTTCTACTCGCATATAGCAAAGCTTGATTTTTTTCCCCCCCTGTAACCTGCCTTGAAGCCCAGTAACATTCAGTAGAAAGACTCCCATTAACTTCGGTGAACTTTGGATCACAACCTATATTTACAACACCAAATGGAATAAAGAAATGGTTTCCCCAAGAAGCCTGTTTACAGCAGAATGTGCTCTTTCTTTAATTCTAATGATTTCCAGCTATTTTTATGTACAGTAGTTAGTTTTCAGACTGATGGAGATGGAGTCTCATTTGTGCAGATGGGAAATGCTTATTATGCTAATAGTGTTCTGCATTGTTAGCGGAGATTATTAGACAGAGATGTTAGAAATGCCTCTAGTGGAATTAAGTAGGTGACAAGGTAAAACGAAGAGATAAATGGCAATAGTGATTAGGAAACGGATTGTGCTGAATACGGTAAGTACAATGGAAGAAGAGAAAGAAACTTCATTTCTTACAGGAAATAGTTTGACCAAGAAGGTTATCATTAGAAAGAAAAGATGAAGAATGGGTTAGCCAAAAAAAAAATCACTGATTCTAAATAAGGTTGATAGACTAAAATATACTATTTAATCTGGAGAAAGCTTGAGAAAGTGTTGAAATGGAGGAAGGAAAAGAACCAGAACACCTATTAAAAAAAAAGGACACCACACGCAGTTTCATGTTTTACAATTAATATATTATAAATTCTTCCAAGTGTCTGTTTCAGGCGTAACCAACTGTATATTTTACATTTAATTCAATGAAATGCAATATTTGTCTTTTCTGAATTCTTAATAAGTCAATAAAACTCACACACTAGAGGTAATTGTGCTGACTGAACACTTTATATCAGTCATCAGAGCGGTATTTAATATTTGTTGTTTCTGTACCTAGAATCATTGTAACAGCAGGAAAATGGAAATCACAGCTAAGGATCCAGGCACAACAAATTCCAATTTATTCCTGAAGTACCAAGTAAGAAAGTCCTAACTGTAGCATATCTTCTTTAAATGTGTGTAAAAGCCCATTTACACTGCATTCTTGAATGATTAGACATTCATTGTAAATCCACTGAATAGGACCCTTTTTCTTTGCCACTGGACCACTGGTGAATCAATCCTGATTTCTGCCAAGATATTTCTGCCAACCTGTTTGCTACTGACACTGATGAAATCAGATTTCACTGCAAATTTCCATCACAAGTGATATTCAGATCACTCCTTTTGACTATTTGATTTTTATTCATGATATAGAATTGACCACTGAAATTTAATGAGTATTTTTTTCTGCTCCCTTATGGATGACTGAATCTTTCTTGAAAAAGAATAACAATGAAAAGCAAATAGCTGTTAGGAAATAATTGATAGCAAACACTCTTGGTTGCAAGCAAGATTTTCTGTATTTGTGTCTGGCTTGGAATATAATGGCTAATTTACTTCAGATTTAACTTCCTTGAGAATGAATGTGTGTTGGGTAGAGTACTCTGTAAGGACGGGATCAGCTAGCTTTGGTTTTGTTGGTTCATTTCTCCTCACTTTGGATGGCTCATTAGTGATGAGATCATGGGCATATTGATTAGATAACTTGCATTGATTTGGATGAAGCCGTGGTCCTGATGTTAGCTTGTATTTCCTCATTTTCATAGTTTCATAGTTAGTAGGGTTGGAAGGGACCTGAGCAGATCATCAAGTCCGACCCCCTGCCATGGCCGGAAAGAGTACTGGGGTCAAACGACCCCAGCAAAGTGATTGTCTAGCCTTGTCTTAAAGACCCCCAGGGTAGGAGCCAGCAC